TGGAAGGCATGGCTTCAGAAAATGGGGCACGAAAATAAATTTTTATCTGCTGGCCAATCAGATAATCATATTCTACACCACAATACTTCATGCACGATCTTGACCAGATTTCATCAGGTAAGTATCATCCTCTATAATTTTTTGTATCATGCACTCTACTGATATAATTTACAAATTTTATTTTAAATCAGAAATTACCCAAAGTTTCGCATTCAAACAAATATTTGAAAATAAACTTTTTTTTAATGTTTGGCATGCTTTATATTGAAAATGGTGCATTTTATTACCTAATTTAACAGTAGAAACCTCTTGCATGAGTTTTTTCACTTAATTTGGCATTTAGCATTTATACAGGGTGTACCATTAGTGCATAATTGCTCCATACTTCAATTTATAATAAAGACATGCAAATAAGTTCAAATAAAAGTTATATGGATTTGAAAGACATAATTTAAATAATTTTTGGATATACATTTTGCATGACAAATAAAAATATAAGTGTTTAAATAGAACACCCTTTATTTTATTTGTTTTAGAATGGCCTGTTAATACTGTATTCAACACTAGAATGTTTTTAAAAAATATTACAAGTTTGCCAAGCAATAATTGTTTTTGTGAAATTAGCTCATAATTTAGGTAGGTAACAATGATTTCAAAATTGTTTAAAATATAGAATCTTTATTGGTCCTTTTTGAACACTAAACAGCGATGTAGGATATGTCAAAAAACAGGTACAATATGGCTAATTTTAAGTTCAATTTATTCAAATGTATCACCATGTATATTATTTTAGCGTATATACATATACAGGATGTCCCATCAGTGCGTAATTGATCGATAGCTGTTTTATTATTGGAAGTATGAAGAAATTGTTAATATAAAAGTTGTATGATTACATTTAAAAATTAATTTCAAATATACGGGGTAGTCCTTAAATGAAGGGCTGACCAAACTTATACTTTTTTAAAGTAAAAGTAGGTAGTTATGCAAATTTAACAAACTTCATTCATTTGCTATGTTGCATATAGGGTGTGTCAAAAAGCGAGATTGATTTATATAATTGTTTAAATGGACTACCCTGTATACTCTAGCACCAATTAATAATTTATTTTTTATTTTGTTCTGGCATTCCTTGTACATAAACACTTTTGTTATTTTATTAACAATGGTTTATATTACTTATGACGTTGGTATAACAGAAAACCATCCAATATTTCTGAAAAATGGGTCAACAAACGTTTTACATGTTTGCTTGATTCATTTGTTTTGTCATAAAATTGGCCATTTGATTCATAATTAATTCAAGACACTCTGTTACAGTCCTTGAGTTTAACCTGTATAATTATCTAGATGTTGTGAACTCTGTACCTACAGGGTGTTTGGTTTTAAAAAAAAATATATTTGATTCGCTTATTTATATATTTTCATATAATTGTCAAATATCATCCACTGCTATTATGATCATATACGCATTGATGGGACACCCTGTATATGTATGCTAACATATTGGTATCGTTGGATAGGGAAATTCATAACAAATTTAATGCTAAAATAATATATATACATGGTATTGCAATTGAAAAACCTTAAACTTAAAATAAGCCATATTTATGATATTTCAAAACAAATTAAACCATCACTATTCGTTAGATTTGTAAATCTGAATTTTAAATAATTGCTAACCTACCTAAATTATACTAATTTTATTTGGGATCTATATTATTATCCAATTTCACAAAATATTAATTGCTTGGCAAACCTGTAATATTTAAAAAAAAAAAAAAATTGTCGCTGAAGAGAACAGTGGCGGCTCGTAATATAGAGCGAAGGAATCATGGCCATGTCCAGAATTTTTAAATAAACCTAAAAATGCATTTTTGTCATTTTAAATATATGAATTGTATCGCAACACCACTATCAGGATATTGGTGCAAACTTACATCTGGCTCAGCATTTTCGTGGACTATGTTCTGTAGCAAGTGGTAAGCAGGCGGATGGGGTATGCATTTTGTACTTACATTTGGAGTCACATTTTAGATGGCATTTGTCAGTCTAAGAATAAACATAAGGTATATTTATGTATACCGGGTGTTGCATCATCGAGCGGGACATATCAAATCCCATGTAATTTTAAATGGGGTCAATTATTGGCTTCCCTAATTATTTTAGAGAAAAATTCCCAGACAGCACAAATAGTCCATTGGACGTCCATTCGATATACAATTTTGGATGTCTGGACGTCCAAAGATGAGTTTTTTGTGGACCTCCGACGTCCAGTGAAATATACAAATGGCACACTTTTGACCATTCATAGGACGTCCAATTCTGGATTATATTTGGACGTTGAATACTGGACATTCAAAAAACGTTTATTACTGGATTATATTCCATTAAGACCACATCCCCCACTTTTTTTACACAACCGCAACTCACCACACACTATTTTCTATTATTATTTAATAATCACTTGAGCAGAGCAGGAATCGAACTCACGACACGTCCATTGTTGTTCTAGACATTCAAGCGCTAGGCGACCTCGACCAAGGAATCACTTGAAAAATTATTTCTAGATATGGTTATAATAGAATAAGATTTTAAACTTCCGCTGATAGAATGAAATGTAATAGATTTAATTTATCAATTTTTAATGAACAATTCTATTAAAAAAAAAGGAAATGTATATAGATAAGTATTATCTGGTAGGATAAATAAATAATGACCTAAGATGGACGTCCACTAGACGTCGAAATAATAAACTTAAAATTAAGTCCAAAAACAGACATCGATATGTAGCAGTCAAATTAATGATTATAAACGGAAGTACACTGGATATCCGAATACGGATGTTCTGGCCCTCAAATGGATCTAAAGTGGACATCCATTGGACTATGTGTGCTGTCTGGGAATTCCATTTGGATTTATTAAAGAGCACTAAAACCCACATTCAAAAAATTAACTTTGGATATTTTTGATTAGCGCGTTTACGAATTATCGCCGATTTCTTTTTAAATATTTCTCCTTTTTTAATAACAATAAAGCATACATTTCAAAATTAAAACTTCATTTGACAGTCATCTTTTACCTTGACTGATGCTCGTAAATGCAGGGCCATAAAAAAAGAAAAATATTTAAATAGAAATCGGCGATAATTCGTAAACAAGCTAATCAAAAATATCTCAATTATTTTTTTGAATGTGGTTTTTAGTGTTCTTTAATAAATCCAAATAGAATTTTTCTCTAATATAATTATAGCCAATAATTGACCCCATTTAAAATTACAATACAACACCCGGTATAGGTGTACTTAGTTGATCTGGCTCAGAAAAAACTAACGTTTTTGAAGTAACACTATTTTAATCGAAGGTTTTTTATGTATATGCTTTAAATATGAATGTAGAGAAAACTCAATTAATATTATTCAGATCCAAATATAGGTAAATAGATAGACCAAATAATGTTTCCTTATGCAATCAAGAGCTGGATTTAAGAAATAGCACAAAATTTCTTGGAGTCCATCTGGACAAATATCTTAGCTGGTTGATCACATAGATAACCTTTCTATTAAGTTAAGTAGGTTAGCATATGGGTTTCGAATCACCAGTAAATAATTGCATAAAAAATCTGTCAAAATAATTTACTCCTTAGTTTTGAAGCCGTATGTAAATATGGCATATTGTTTTGGGGCGGAAGCTCAGACGTTACAAGAATTTTTGTAATACAAAAAAGAGTGTTAAGAACTATAAACAAAATGAGTTTCAGAGAGTCATGTAGGTTAATTTTTAAAGAAAACACCATGATGACAATATATGGGCTATATAAATGAATGTCTATTGTTCGTAATGAAAAATAAAAACAAATTTAATAATAATAATAATAAAAATAAAGGTTTTTATCACATTTTTATCACCGACTCACGTTAACAGAGAAAAACTCTCACTAAATGTGCATAAAATTGTATAATGCATTACCAGAGAACATAAAAACCATTAACAGTATTAAATGTTTAAAAAAATGCATACGAGAATTATTGATTGGCATGGAACCTTAAAGCATGTCAGAATACCTAAATTATAACTTGAATTAAGTCATTATGTAGTAAATTTGTGACCTCATTTCACTATAATTAGTGAACAGTTGGATATATTTAATTGCAGTGTTAAAAACATAAAAACACATTGTTTAAAATAATTTTGAATTTATTTACTGTAATTTTAGATTAATTATCTATATGCCTTTTGTTAAACTGTTTTCTTTCAAATGTACTCCTGTTCTGTAATTGGGTTTAACCTGTTGAACAATGTATAAATAAATAAATAAATAAATAAATAAATAAATAAATAAATAAATAAATAAATAATATTTATGTTTATACATTGTCAACATTATTTTTGGAAATAAAGAATATTATCATTATTAAAAAAAAACTGTTTGAAATTATAAACTTTTTGTTTACAACTCAAAACAACCTTTGAATATGAAGATAAATGGTTTTTCATTTATTTATTTTTTTTAAATAAGGCAAGGGGGTAAATTTTATGATCTCTACCATCAAAAATTTCCACGAGCCACCACTAGACAAGACCATTTTAAAAGTGAAATAAAATTATGTATAATTTTTATTTGTCAGACAAAAGCGTAACTCCCTGTATATCCAAACATATTTATGAAATATGCCTTTTTCAAATCCATAAAACTTTTATTGGAAACTTGTTTGTGTGTCAATAACACAAATTGAAATATTGAGCAATTATGTACTAATGGGACACCCTGTATATTTACACTACCATAACCAAAAATAATTTCGGAGTTATTAATAGGAAACTAAATGAAAACAAATAAAAATAAAATAACTACATTTATTATGTACACTTTAAAATAAAATAAATACATAGGACATTCAAAACATGCAAAAGCAGGTTAAGTTATGAGAGGCGAAACTAAATATTAATTAATAAATAAATATGCACTTGAAATCTGCTCGATTGTTTTCTTAAACTTACATCTTGGAGTAGCTGATTTTTCTTTATCTCCATCTCTATCAACCACACTAGACTTCGACCTGTGATGTCCATGTTTTTGGTGTCCATGGTAGTCAGAATTCAAGCTTTGGCCAGAATCCGTTTTGTTTTGATTGAAACTACCTGAACTGTGCCTGTGATGTCCACTTGACTCAGATCTTCTATGACCTGGTTTAAGATTCGAGCCAGAACCAGGTCTGGAACTCATTTTTGGATCCAAAATGAAACAATTGGAAACAATGAATTCATAATCTGAAACAGGTAAATAATAAAAGAATTAATATTACTTTCTAGTTGTATGATACAGGTTATTTCATGTTTCGAGTCTTTTTTTAAAGGGTATGTATATAATTAAAACCAAAGACAAATCAAGTAAATAACTCATACTCAAATATTAGAGAGATGACTCTTTTAAATTTTAGCTATAGATGTTTCATTTGTAAATTATCTAATAATTGAATGTTTTTACTAAATCTATAAATTTTAATCAATCAATTAAATCATTTTAGTTTAATATTTCAGTGTTTTTGAGTAATTTAAGAATTTTTATATTTTATAGTGCATTAATCTAATTTTTGAAAACGTTATTTGTGAGTACATATATGTCCCACATTTATGAAAATAAAATACTTTCTTTATTCCAGGTGAAAAAACCTTTCCTGTAGTGGAGTAGATACCAATATTTTATAATATCCTTTTACTAAAATGAGAAAAACCAAATATGGTAGATTTTCACAAACACTTTTATTTAAAAAATAAAAATTACATGACAATTGTACTTCTTCACATTTGAAGCATGTTTGAGACATGTTTTCTATGTTTACTTAGTTCTTTGATTTTTGTAGTAGAAAACATTGGATAAACACCATACTTTTTACAGTCTTCATAAGTCTTTTTTGAACTCTCCTTAACATTTCAAATCCAGAAATTGAGGGTTCCATATTGTACTGCAGTATTTTCTTTTTGATTTGACATAGGAATTGAAAAGTAAGATAGTTGTTTGATAAGTAAAATCATGACAAGTCCTTAGAACAAATCCCAGTGTTCTATTACACTGGAATGTTAGATGTTTATAGGGATCATTGAACGCAACAATTAAATCTTTAATGTTTCGAGTTCAGCTGTGTTAATTTTATACTTACCTCTTATTTGTTAATTTTTTCAGTATACGTTATAACCTTACACTTAATTAATTTAAGGATAAATCATTGAGTTTACAATATTTGCAGATGATATTAATATCAGACTGAAGAACATCTACATCCTTAGGGGAGCTGATTATTAAAAATAGTTTTGTCATCTGCAAAAAGTAAAAATTTCGATGATTTAATTTATTCATTGACATCATTTATAAACAAGATTAAAAGTAGAGGTTCTAGTATGGATTCCTGGGGGTACTCCTGAAGAATTTGTAAATGTGTTTGACACTACATTGTCTTACTTAACATTATTATGATTAGTTAGATATGATTTCATAAAATTTATTAAATTTTCACTGAAACAAAAACCTTTCTAATAAAAAAAGAATCATAGAAATATGATAAGGTGGTAAAGAAGTATTGCTGAAAATACATAAAAACTTAGGAGTCTGATGATTTTCTCAATCATCATTAGATATTGACCAAATTTATATGGGACCATCCCTGAGGTCCCCCCTTGCTAACAAAAAAGAGTCTAGAAATTGGATAACATAGTAAAGAATTATTGCTCAACATACATAAAAATATATTTTGACGAATAGAGAATCTCCTAATTTTTTTGAAGTCTGTAAAATATAATATCTGTGTCAAAGTTGCAAAATTATTGTTTAAAACTGGTCAGCTAGTTATAAAACAAAATTTTAATTTAGTATTTTTTTTATTCTGTGATTCCTATAGATTATCAAGTTTTGTTATTTAATCCTATAATGTATGCCCATTTGAATTATTTTATTTATATTAAACTCCTCTAAAATGATCTCAGTTTAACCTAATTTTCAGAAATAGATCACCACAGTAGACTAGCCAAGAATCTGCTTAAGCAAAAAAATATTCATGCAATTTATCAAAAATACGCATAATTAGAATTTTAGAGTATTTTGACTTACGTGAAAATTAATTATTTTTCATTCCGAGAAGAAAATTAATGGGTAAATTTGTCAAATCCAGCCCATGAATCTACTATGGGTCGAAAACAAAGACGAAACATTTTGAACTGACACAAAAATTACGGGAAATCAACCTTATAATTCACTTGTATTTGAAAACGAGATAATTGCAGCGATTCGTATAGAATTGACACTCAAATTTTATTAATTCGTTTCTTCATTTTGGTTTTAATTTTTCTTTTTCACCTTCCCCACAAACTTCTTAAAACATGAAACACAAACACTAAACACTGTCACTGACTGTCAACTAACAATGCTCCTCATTGGCTAATCTGACAGGACAGCACTGACGTCAGTGGGCGTGATCGCCTCAATCGTTTCGTTTGAAAAGTTAAGATATCGATAGTTTGCCCTATCGAATTTAATCGATAGTGTATAAAATATATTTTTTTATTATACTTGTTTGTGCAGTTTATTGATTCCTGTTCCTGTATACGTAATAATAAGTAGGTTTACATTAAACACGTTTACTTACCCCTTTACATTATCATAGTTTATAAATTTGACCGTGGTGGTTAAATTGCCCCACCTCCACATTTAACCATCAATTTGATCAACTATTCGGCCTATATATAAACATACAAAAATAAATTGAATTATTTTTACTTAGGTACTTCTTGATTTTTAAAAACTTTTTATACCAAAAAATATCATTAATAAAATATATTAGAAATGGATTTAGGTTTAGGCCCTCTAGGCCCAAGTCTAATAGGGTGCCAAAACTTCAGGGTTGTTGAAATTTGAAGAGCGACTAAAACTAAAAATTAAAACTCAATTGGTGTTCTCTTTTCTTTTTGATTATTTTTTTTATCAATAAACAATACAGACTTAATGGGTTTGCATTATTATTGTCTATTAGGGCATTGTTGGTGCCAGAAATTGATTATGAATAATGATAGTAGGTATCATTATTTTCGTACCTACGAACTAAAGCAAAATGAAAAAATATATTGTAGAAATCACTTACATCAAATAAGATTATTATCTTGTTAAACCAAATCAATATTATTTCGAATACATCGTTCACGTGCTGAAAGAGAAAGACGGGGTTCTGTTATTTAAAAAAATTTAAACTGTTTGTAATGGTCCCCTTGTGTTTTTTTTTATTTTTTAAATTTTGACTGCATACGAAGATGGAAAAAATAAATTTCCGAAACATATATGTAGTGTGCGCTGTGCTAAACGATTGAAAATAAAAACAATGACCGATTAAACCAAGGAAATTTTTATTCATATAAAATTCTGCTACGGTCAGGTAATTATCCTTATTCAAATAAGATTAATTTTTTATATTTTTAATATGTTAATAATTTTTTAATTAAAAAACCGACTTCACAATCGTGTAGATGCCCTTAAAAATTGGGATTTTTTATTTTCTCATTGATCATCAGATCCTGATCAATTGTATATGGAACTACCCCTGAGGTACCCCCTTTCTAGCAAAAAAATAATCATTGAAATCGGACACCGTGTTAAAGAATTATCGCTGAACATACATAAAAAAATATATTACGACGAATTGAGAATATCCTCCTTTTTTGAAGTCGGTTAAAAATCATAGTTATCTGCTTTTGTCATCATATTTTTCAGTATAACATGTGTATATCATCACAAAACAAGAAAGTAGCCTAATAGCTATATAGGGCGCAATCCTTAAATCCGTCTCTGGACATTTTCATGGGTTTTTAATTTTTTAAATATATAATTTAACCTTTTTTAATAAAGTCCACCTACGCCATTGACGTAAACAACCCAAGAGAATGACTGAAGAAATTAAAATTTGTCCTAGATTCATGTTTTGGAACGATTTAATTGATTGTAATAGAGGTCAAGCAAATGTGTACTTTTTTTTGAATTTTTTAGAATTAAAAGAACAAAGAAAGGATAAAACTGAGGACCGGAATTTTGATCAAAACACAAGTGTCCTTGACAATAGAAGTTTTTTTATTCAATCAAACAGCACGTGACCGAGAGTTGTTGGAAGCATTGGCCAAATGTGAGCGTGCCCTGCGTGGATATGTTGCGCAACAGTGAACACAAAATGCCGTCAGAGTCCAAACCTTTGTTGACAGCTCAAACAGAAAAGCCAAATCATTACTCGTAAGTGTATTTTTAGTACGTGATTGTTATTGTGACGTATGCACTAATTAATTTTGTGCATTTTCATGTGCTTTTTTTGTTAAAATACAGTGTTAATTTCTAGATATTTGAAAGAATTTCGAGTCGAGCAATGCCCGCTCTTCTTACAACACAAATGTACACAGCATCGACCATTCACCTGTTTTCACTGGCATTTTATGAATCAGAGGCGACGACGGCCAGTACGTCGCAGAGATGGAACTTTTAATTATAGTGCCGATAATTATTGCACAAAATACGATGAAACTACAGGCATTTGTCCCGATGGAGACGAGTAAGTAGACCTTTTTTGGTTAGTTCTTCTGTCATTTTGTTGTGGTGGGTGTGACAACTTTGAGGCGCAATTTCGAAATTACCTTCATATCCTTTGTTTTTCTGCTATTAACCCCCTAAAAGTTCTCGCGTATGATCTAACAGGTGGATGTGAAATACAATGGAATTCCTATCGAGAGCTGATTATTTTTGGCATTTGATTTAACAATAGATAACCAAACTTTTAGGCATCAAAACAATGTCACAATAACCTTGGACCTATCCCAATAATGTTATTTTTCAGTAAGGCTCCGTTATAAAATATATAGTCGTTTTAATTTCACTTTTTTACAGAATGAAATTATCATTTTATTGTCTTTGTTTACTTGCATGAAATTAATTGTAATAAAAAACCAGCATTCCATTCATGAAATAAAAAAAGGCCATTTTTTACTATGCTAAAAAGTTGTTCTTTATTTTATACCCAAGTGATGGACAACTCAGTATCATAGAAAATTGCATAAAATTAGCAAATTATTAAAATTATTACAAAATTGTCAACCTTGATAAATACCTATTGTCAAAAGAAATAGGTACATTGTTGAAAAAGTGAAAATAGGATTTGAATAAAAAAAATGCAGCTTCACTTATTTTTCTAAATCACCTTTCTATGGAAAATTGAGTTTAAAACCTAATTAATTGGGCAATGTGAATGATTTGGGTTTTGAAATATATTTAGATGTGCATTTTAGGATTTTGATTTGAAATTTTAAATTTTATTCCAAAAAGATGTCAAAGTAAAGAAATACAATTGCTAGGGCTATAATGAAAACACCAAGCACAACTACTGATCATTTATTTGCAATCTTTACAAAGATAACACTTATGGTTTCAATACTATTTTGAAGATTGGCTCCAATTAGTTAAAATTAATTATTCAGGCAATCACTTTTTCTCACAACCATATTTACTATTTATATAAATGAACTCTATGGCTACTTTCTGAGTCGTTTACAGTACTATATATTGATGACTCAATCTTTCTTTTCTCAAATTCATCAGAAGAAATACTGCAAAATAAAATAGATATTACTCTCCTGAAACATTTTATGAATGGTCCGGTAATCAATCTTTGCTATTTAACATTTCTAAAACAAATTAGATACATAGTCTTCCATACTTATCAGAATACAAAGTCTCCTACTTTAAATATCAGTGCAAATAATAAATACAATTGACTCATTTTAAAGCCCACTGCGAAATTCTGTCATCTCTATCAAACTCAAAGAAATATCAAACTTGTTCTACAATTCCATCATTTACTTACATCATAATATCTATTATGCTGATATCCACTCAAGATTATTGTATGGTATTTGTGTACGGGGAAGGTAGTCATATGCTGACAAAATATTTATAACTCAAAATAAAATCATAAGATATGTAGCTTTGGTACTTCTCTAAGAGATTCCTATTGACCTCTATTCAACAAATTTAAAATACTTTGCCCCCTATGCTTTGTATATTCTTGAACTCCTAATATATACTTATTCCAAGGGTCACATGGCAGGACCTTGTAAGTCGCAGAATCAACATTTTTTAGGAGATTAAAATAAAAATGATTCACAAGTACATAGAACAATTCATTTTACTCTATAATAGGACTAATATTTCTTGAAAAATATATTATTTTGTAATACTTGCCCTTTACAGTAGATGGAGCAAAATATTTTAAATGTAAAATATAATTTTCAGTGAAAATGTTAGTTATGAGGTCCTGCCTTGTGGACCTCATTATAAAAATACAAATTTTAATCTCCATATTGATATCCATTCATACAACATGAAAAATGAAACAAATATTTATCAGCCATTTACACATTTAAATATTTGTGCCAAAACACTAACAATAACTGGAGTTATTAATATATTTCCTCAGATTATAAAAAATGTACAAAAAATTTAAATATCTTAACAAAAACAAACTTTTAGAGATCTGTCCATATTAAAAGAATATTTTACATAAGTCGTGTACCTTGTACTGAAACCACCTAATGTTGCCGTTATATACAAGGTGAGCATTGGCAGCTTGTGATAATTTAAAATGGGTGTTTAATTTTTTCCAATAATTCTATCATTTGTAAGTTCAGTTCAAAACTTTGTACAAGCACCAATATCGCTGTTTTTTTATTTGGGTTTGTATTAAGTGTCCAACTATTAATGAATGAATGAATATTTTAGTTATTGTAATATTTGTTTTTAATACATTGAAAACCATCTATAAACATTATTAGTTATAATAGTCAGCTGACTTTTCTTCATATTTTAAGATTATTTTTAAATATACAGGGTGTTTCATAATATATGCGCAGGACTTCAGGACGTGATAGCTCGTCCAAAAATATGAAAAAACGTTTCTATTAACTTACCCTCTAAAATGCACCATTTTCGAGATGCAGGGTGTTGAAATTAAAAAAAAAAAAAAATTCTGCGCCACTGGAAAAAGTATGGTTTTGAGACGCCCATTTGAACCGCCAATGTTTTCTACACAAAAAAGGTACTCTTGGTCATACGCTCTAAAGTCGACCGTTTTCGAGAAAAATCAAATTTTGTTTCATCAAGTATGTATGACCATGTATTTCAACATTAAAATTTGATTTTTCTCGAAAACGGTCGACTTTAGAGCGTATGACCAAGAGTACCTTTTTTGTGTAGAAAACATTGGCGGTTCAAATGGGCGTCTCAAAACCGTACTTTTTCCAGTGGCGTAGAATGTTTTTTTTTTTTTTTTTTTTTTTTTTTCAATTTCAACACCCTGTGTCTCGAAAATGGTGCATTTTAGAGGCTATCAAGTCCTGAAGTCCTGCGCATATATTATGAAACCCTGTATATCGTGTTATGTATTGATTTTTGTGTAAAAAATATTATATGAAACTTTACCTACCGTTTTTCAATTTTTATTGTAAATTTAATAATTTTCACAATTTGTCACATGTCAAATAAAATAATATATTTTTTAAATACCTTTTATTGGCAATCTAAATTATACTCTTCACAGTTTAATGGATCCCCCCTTAACCTCCATTTTTAATCAGATTTCTTTCAAAATCAAAGGACTTTTTCTCTTTATAGAGCTTGGTGTTTGCTAAAAATGCTTTGTTTTGAGTTAGGATTTTTTTTTATATTTTACCCACCTAATTTATTCAGATTTTTTTCAGAATCAATATTCTTTATCTTCTTATAGAGCTTGATTTTTACTAAAAATTTCATGTTGATATCACTTTTCATTTTTAATTTAGGATTTTTTTTTAAATTCAACCCATCTTAACCCCCTGTTTTTGATCAGATTTTTCAAAATCTATAGACTTTGTCCCCTTATAGAGCTTGATTTTTGCTTAAAATTTTCAAGTTGATATCATTTTTTGTTTTTAACTCATCATGCAGACAAAAAACGTGACATCGGACAGAGGGAAAAATAATACTCTTCACAGACTATTGTGTGAAGAGAATAATAATAATAATAATATAATCAAGGCTAAAACAATAACATAATAGACTAAAAAAATAGGTGCAATATCAGTACCTTGGAGTTAAACTGCACTATGTCATTCTAGTCATCTTTTTACTTTCCTGTCTGTATACAGATAAGGAAAGTATTATAGGAATAATAATTTTTTTCGACCTCCAGTTTTTGACGGATTTTTACGTTTTGGGGTCCCCTGAATCCGTTTTGACTATTTTCGCGATGATGCGTGTGGGGAACTTTATAGTTAGTCGTTTTTCTATTTTATGAAATATATGTTATTTACGCTTGGGAAAGAATATCCTTCAAATAAAAGTTGATTATAATATTATTCTTTATAATTTTTGTTTGATACAAAATTTTCCTTAAATGGCCGGTATTTGAGAAATTTGACAAAAAATAAAAAAAAATCAATAATTGTAAAGGTTCCTATGCCACGACCTACATTGTTTCATCTGGTTTCACTGATCTGTTGACTTCTCTTTTTAACTACAGGCATTTGCGAAAACGACTGATCACTTTGTTGTAAACCGACACACACGCGGCAGTCATAAAAATACTAATATTGAATTTATATTTTTATGTTATGTGATTTTAAAATAAAGTTTTTATGTAATTTAACTGAGTGTTCACTGCACAAATGAACCAATGGAGAAACCGCCCCTGTAGCTAACCAACCCCCCATAAACTATCCCTCTAAAAATTATTTTTTCTTTTGTTTTACCATTCAAATGATATAAAACTTTAAGTTTTCCAAGATATTTGAATGGCTGTATCTCCCTTGTTTCAAAGTTTCAGACATTAATTTATATAGCAAACTGACCTTAAATTTTATTATTGGTACTTTACAAAACGAAGTTTCTGCTTTCTTTTCTAAAATTTTTCTTACACCTTAATTTATATGGTTATTTTCCTTGTAGTTCTTGGGTTTTTAGGTGATAGTGGAAAATAAAACTCGTGTGTGTGGTTAAAGCTTTTGGCACAGATCAGTACCTTCTTCAGTATTTTTTTCTTTTATTGGTAAAATATTTTTTTTGTCATTAAGACCTTGTTTTTTTTTTAAATAATGAGTTTAACATCCGACAGTTCTACAAGAAATTTTTTATACATTTAACATTTTATTATTTTATTATTATGTATTTTGGCTTGCCTTTAGTACATTTTAAATTATTGTTCTATCACCTCCTAAAATATTTGTATTCCTTTTTGACTCACCTTATGTATAATGGGTAAAATATTAGGTAGTTTCAGTACAAGGTCCCTGACTTATGTAAAATATTGTTTATTTGTATCATTCTTTTTTTGTATGTTATACTCACTTATATACTGACCTGTCCAATAACCTAGTTAAAATGGATTAATAAAAAAAAATTTTTTTGTATGTTATACTCACTTATATACTGACCTGTCCAATAACCTAGTTAAAATGGATTAATAAAAAAAAATGATTTTTTTTATGGTTAACTTTTTGTTCCATCGCAATCCTATCTGGTGTTTTTTTTTCTGTTATTTTAATTTTTACATTAATTTTAGCTGCCCTTACTTACATAGAACAGCAGGTGACACAGAAAGAAGGTATCACCTTAGGTATTACAAAACATGCATGTGTGTACATGATACAGATTCTAGGGGATATTGTGTAAAAAATGGATTGCACTGTGCATTCGCACATGGCAGCCATGACCATAGGCCACCCGTATATGATATTAAAGAAATACAAGCTTTAGAAGCTGCAGAGGCAGAAGGCAGTGGATCTTCAAATGGTCCTAATGCTTTAGACAAGGAAAGAAATTTAATGAATGAAGATCCTAAATGGCAAGGTTTGTTATATATTTTTGCTAACAAGTTGGTAAAACATTGCGTCAAGGTATACTATTTCTTTTAGATACAAATTTTGTACTTTCAAATTACAAAACTGAGCCCTGTAAGAGGCCCCCTAGGTTATGTAGACAAGGATATGCCTGTCCGCAATATCACAATAGTAAAGATAAAAGAAGAAGTCCAAGGAAATTTAAATATAGGTAGAAATATTTTCTAACTAGTATATTAATGTTTTTAGTGATATATACTTATCTAATTTATCTTTTGTAGGTCAACACCTTGTCCAAATGTTAAACATGGAGAAGAATGGGGTGAACCTGGTAATTGTGATGCAGGCGATCTCTGTTCTTATTGCCATACTAGGACCGAACAACAATTTCATCCAGAAATTTACAAAAGTACAAAATGCAATGATGTGCAACAGTCTGGATATTGTCCTAGAGGTGTATTCTGTGCTTTTGCACATGTAGAACGTAAGTTTAATATAAATTCTTTCCCATTACTAATGAATTACAAACTTGTGTTAGTACACATGCACTCTGAATATTTTATTTGCATAAACATTAAAGGTGTTTTATTGTGTTTACAGAAGAATTAGGAGTTTCAAGAGACACTGGAGATAGTGGCACAAATTTAGCAGATATATTATCAAATGTTCTTCCTCAGTCTAGTACAGATTTAAAACTCAAGGAAAAGAGCAGTGATAGTTCTGTAAGTAAAATTTTATGTTCCGAATGGGATACATCAAAACGAAATAATCCGTTTTCAAAACATACCGTATACTTGGTGTCCCAGACTGTACCTTCTAAAAAATGTCTATCTAAAAGGTTAAAAACGAATATGTATATAAATCGTTTATTTAGTCAAAATTAACTAATTTACAAGGAAATGCACATCAAATTAAAATATATAAGTATATAGTCAACATGCATTTAAAATGGTACAACAAAGTTAACTTTACAAAACATAAAAGATAAAACAAAGTTAACTTAAAACTGTATGATTGTTCAGTGGACTGTATATATTTAAATCGTTTATTTATTATAAAAATCTATTTTTTACATGGCAATACATAACTTCACATTTAAAATAAAATAAGAAATACATAAGTATACAGTCACCATACATGTAAAATGATAACATAATGTCAACTTTACAAATCAATAAAACTAGAAAATTTCTTTTAAATATTGCTGCGTTTGAAGAGCATTTAATATCTTCAGGTAAATTATTAAAAAAACATTTTTTCATGGCCTTATAATCTCTAAAATTTTGCTTATTTCGTTTACTGTGTTCATGAACATCCTGATTATAACTTAAAATATTTTGTAAATATACTGGGGAGATTCCAACCACTAAAGCACATTTAACATGGAATTCATTGGTTCCAATCTTGAACAGCTCAGTATTATCTTCATACCTCTATTCTGCAATCATTGCAACTCATTCTAGTTGAGCAAATACAAAATAGTTGTACAATAATTAAAGTTAGTTAAATAAGAGTATCATAAATTATTATTGTAGCCCATTTGCTGAGATGTGGAGAACAGTGTCTCAAATAGTTGTAATATGTATCAACCATAACCCTTACAATTAGATATTTAATTTTTTCGACTTTATGAAACTTTACTCCATCAACAGAAACACACTGCGATGCTAATTTAATTTTTTTTTTTAATTTCCAGTACCTCCATTAACATCCATTTTGTGTGTTCATAACTTATTTTCAAGAAGTCTCTGTTACAATAAGCATATATTTTACTTATACAGGGTGAGTCGGGAGGAGCGCACCAAACTCTAGGAGTATATTATACACGTGAAAATAATGTAAAAAAACTCATATGTTCTTATCCGATTTTCATTTGTTTTCAAGTTATTAAAAATGTTCATCTAGCTTTCCACTTCTGAATTTTAACATTATCAAAGTATGCCATAATATGTTCAAGGTTCAAAGGCATTTGATAATTCTGACTTTTTGATGAACTGTCAGTGTACAGTGAACAGTAACTGAACGTTTAATTGAATCAATGAATCAATTAGGAGAGCAACAAACGCTCTTCGTAGACGAAGCAGAAAATGTTTAGAAGTCAATGGCGGTATTTTTGAACATTTATTGAAAGAACGCTATGATTAAGAGAATTTTTATGTGTAAATTTGTTAATATGCTATAACTTGAAAATAAATGAAAATCGGATATGAACATATGAGTTTTTTTTTACATTATTTTCACGTGTATAATATACTCCTGAGTTTGGTGCGCTCCTCCCGACTCACCCTGTATAACTATTCATTTCTTTAAAACAAGTTTCAGTGTTTTCCTATGTAAAATATCAGGGTATCATCTGCAAATAATTGTATTGAGCATCTTTCTACTACACCAGCAATATCATTAATATAAACTAAGACCCATAGTGGAGCCAGAACAGTACCATGTGGCATCCCCGTATTATTCTCTATAGTATTTGAAACACAATTATTTACCTTAACCTTCTGTTTCTTATTTTTCATAATATAATGTCCCAACCAGTCCAGTGTACAACCCCCCCCCTAACCAATAGCTCTTAATTTCATTAATAATCTACCCCTATTAATATTCTCAAATGCCTTCTATAAATCTAAAAACACCGCCAGTGTAACCAAATTATTTTCGATTGACAACTTCCAGTCATGCAACACCAACTGTAAAGCAGTTTCATAGTTGTGTTTACTACAGAATCCTGATTGAACATACTTATCAAACTGTTGCCCCCTAAATAATCAATAATTTGAAGATATATTACTTTTTCTATTAGTTTTTCAACAGCACTGATCAAATTTATCAGTCTTAAATGGATTTGAAATTTTTGTTATCGGAATTATTGTAGCAATCTTAATATCGTCCGGAATTGAGATTGCTTCAGCAGACAAATTTATAATATGTAATAGAGGTTGGAATAAACTCTCAAAATATTATTTTAATAAAATTGTGGATATTTTGTCTGGACTATTTTTATTTGACATTGAAAATAATATTCCTAGGAGATCTATATAGGTATACTATCATAAACTTTTTGTTATTATGTAAGAGTTTTACTGAAATTAATTAATAAGTCCTATCTAAAATTACTTTCTTAATATCTAAAATTTGTAATATCTAATTCAAATAAACAATAACTCCCCCAGTATGTCGACTTCCTATCGGCTCTAGAAATTATATAACTCTTAATATTTATTCCATTGTTATAATATATCTGAAGTTAAATGCGTTTCTGACAGGCAAACTATCAGTGGATTTTTATTAACAATACCAGGCGTTATTTAATTTTTTATGGTCTACAGAAGATAAAAGTTGGCCAAATTTGTCTGGGACGTCCTTTATATACTATTTTATATTTACATTTTATTAATATTGTTTTTGATCGATTTTTATAAATAAATTCTATGAAATATCTTTCTAGAATGGTTGCAGCGAAGTAAGTGAATCCTCTTCAACGTCATCAGAAATAGGCAATTCCATAAGCAATCTAAATAGTAGTTTGATAAATGCAAATGTCACAAATTCTTCAAGTACAAGTAGTAAGGCTCCTGGATCTCAATTAACACATAAGCCTGTGCCCTTCCAAGGAAGGCCTACGATTAATTTGGAATTGACCAACAAATTGTTAGCAATAGATAAAGATCCCACATTAGGTAGCGGTAATGAATTTTTATGTTAAAAATATATTTTATGTGTTAACTAGTTAAAACGGACTTTAAATTTTTTACTCAACATTTTTGAAGAAAAATAAAAAATCCATTTTATTTATCTATAATTCAAAATTAGATTGCAATTATTCCTTTCTTGAACTAATGCATTACTTTTTTTAGATTCATTAGAAAGGGAACAAAGAAAACAGACATTATGCTTTGCTTATAGTAGTTTAGGAAGTTCATCATTTTTCAGTAGAGGAAATGATACTGTAGAAAGTGTAGTTGGTGAGTATTGATTCCTTAAGTTTTAAATTTGAAAAAGAAAATCATTCAGTTTCTTTTTAAAATTCAGAGTGAAATAATTTTTTACCTAATCCTTTAACAACTACTGAGCAGGCTAAAAATATAAGTGTCATAATTGATAACTGTGGGATCTCTAAAATGTCTATATCCCATCAATAAATTAATTATGTATTTATAAAAGTATAATTGTAAAATGAAAATCGATGACATGTCATGTATACAGTATGTCCCCCTAGGTTGGAATCATATGGAAAACTTTTTTATTATTAATTTTAGGAAAAAAGTTATTCTTCATAAAAAGTTCTGCATTATCTAAACCCTAGAATACAGTCATCAAATATCAAATTTTTTCAGTGGTATATGAGGTTTGTCAAAAAATATGAGTTTTACTCAAGAGTAAAGTACCTTTATTCTTTATACGACTGATAAAATTTGATAAAATTATTAAAATTGAATTAATATTTTTATGTTATTATTTTAAACTAATGTGTTTTTATGAAATGTAACTGCACAAATGAACCAATGGAGAAACCGCCCCTGGTCTCATGGGTGACATAAGTAATGTTATGTGAGGGGACATTAGCAACTTCTTGAATCTAATAATATCCGTTGTCTAAAAAATTTGAAATAAAGATAATTGTTTACTATTTGTTTGTTTGAACAAAAAATCTTTTAATACCTGAAAACACAACTTCTTGAAGTTCAGCAAAATTGGAAGTATCTGAAGGTATACCACTGGTATTACCAACCACGTTTTTCATAATTACCATCATCCTCTTTTTATAAGACATTGTCTATCTAAAAACAAAATGACCCCTTTTATTCACACTCACAACTTAAAAATAATTGTATATTTTCAGTTAATATTTCTAAGTGAAAACCTGAACGTAGTTCTGTGACCAGCTTTTAAAAAAGACAGTAATATTTGTAGGTAAATGTCACATAATTATTTAAAAGTTATTGAAAAGAAAGTAACAAAACAAAAAGACTCAACATAATTCATAATAATTTGTAGAAAAAGGTTATAATTAGATATATCACTTTATTGTATAAAAAAATTCTAAAAATAAAAGTAAATTTTGGCTTGTCACCTTAATGAATATAAATAATTTTTAGAAAACGGTTATAATTAGGTATGTCCCTTTAATAAAAAAATTATAAAAATTAAAGTAACATTTCGGCTCGTCACCTTATTGAATATAAATAAATCCATAAAATTCTACTTACCTTAGCAAAAATAGAGTTATATAACTAAATGTATCATTTTTTTTTAAACGGAAACTATCTTTTGCCATGAGACAACTTAAAATGTCACCTTTCACCAGAAAATTCGCAACGCGCTCTTCACGAAAAACATAGTCAAACTGAGATAACACCACCTTCTCAATACGAGCTGTGTGAAAGAACCGAATTCAGTAAAGCGACAAAATGCCATCTCTCTGTCAATAAGTATAGCTCACATATAACTTTTTTTTTCTCATGATAGAGTACAATATTTAATATCGATTTCTGTAAATAACTCAATTTTCCCAAATTTTGAGATTTCACCTTCTTCCGGATGCACGATATTATACTCTTCACATTTTAATAGACCCCCTTAACTCGCTATTTTTATTCAATTTTTTTTTTTTTTTTCAGAAACAATAGGCTTCATCCCCTTGTAGAGCTTTTTTCCTGAAAATTTTAAGATAATATCGTTTTTATTTGAGTTTTTATATTTCAACTCCCCTTTATTCAGAATCGATAGGAGCTTAAGCTCAAGTTGATATTATTTTTCAATTTTGAGTTAAAATTGTTTTAATGTTTCAACCCCTCTTAACTCCCTATTTTTACTCGGATTTTTTCAGAAGTAATAGACTTCGTCCCCTTATAGTGCTTGATTTTTTCCTGAAAATTTCAAGTTATCGTTTTTTTTTTCTTAAGATTTTTTTACATTTTGTAACTTGACAAACCGGGCCCTAACCTAGTTTTCCAAATACCCTTAACCTTGGCCTAAATTTCGTCTAGTGGATCCCCACGAAGTGATGTTAAAACCCCCAGAATTACGTTTAGAGTTTAATGTAGCTGTAATGGAGGAAGAACAAAGTAAACGCAGAGATGAATTTGGAATACTGTTTATTTAACATCTATTCTTTTGTACAGCCGGACATTTAGATGTGCCGTTTTTAGGCTTAACATTATGTTTATGTAGGCTTTCCAATGTGTCATTTCTAACCTCAGAGCTTTTAGTTCCCATAAAAGGGTAAAATAAAAGTCGGAAGTACTTTGGTATATTTGTTTGTCTCCTAATATACAATCACACGTTTCCACGGAAATGCCGAATTACGCATTGTCTAATAAAATAGAGTACAGCGGTAGCACGGGGAGTTCGGTGAAATATAAAATAATGTTTGTATCATGTCTAAAACCCGGAGTTTAGATTTACCTCACTGTACGTCACGCCTTTCCCTAATATTCCAATGCCGTAATGTACTGACATACTCAGTCCTGTATGGAAAACACTGAACGGTCGATCGGAGAACACCTGATATAAAGGGGGATGCCCATCAGGCCCACTTTTGGGGTATCTCAGTAGAGACCCATCCAAGCCTCTATCAGGTTTTAATTTACATAGCCGCAAGGGAAATACCATTTTTAGGCCCTTACTATTGAGGTCTATGGTGGCCTAAGGCTCTTTTTCGGTGCGATGCTCTTTTGCTCTGTCGATTGACAAATCATTGTTATTAATCACAGTTCTGAGGATACGTTAGTTAGTCCACAAACACAATTTCACCTATTTATTCTAAATAAATAACAAACATACCGACTACTTCCGCGTAATGTCCCGCTAAAGATATGTGGATATGTACAAATAAATATGACCCTCCAATATTCATGATTCTACCCGCCGCTGTACATATCTCCTTTTTCCCGAAAAATCGATATACCAAACTAACACTCCTTACGGCTAAAAGGACACATTTGTCTACCCAATTTTGTTTTACAAAGAACGACAGAAAACAAAGAACCGCAATCTAACTTTAAAATATATACAAATCAAGGCCTTTTATCCTAACAATCTACATCTCTTTGCCATTTAAAAGTTAAACCGAAAGTGCGTTTCCTCTTTACTGAAAGGGGCAGGTACTGTTTACAGACAACCAAAACTTTACAATTCGGCCCTTTGGCCATAAATCTAAATGACTAAATTTATTACTTGAGACTGTTGACCGACTTTACAATAATTAATATTTATGACAAAACATCACTATCGATTCTCTAAATAGTATAATTTAGCACAATATAAAAACCCTACAATTTTTCCCACAATAAACGTTTATCAATGAATACCAAAAATATGACAATAACACACAGACGCGAATTTTCCCGCTAATGAATATAAAAGTAATAAAGTGATACCTGTAACCCATTAATGTTAGTCTAAACTCTCCCCAGGAATATCTGAATATTAAATACTAGTTTGATTACTTTAATAGTGCGTTTTAATTCTACGTAAAAGAAACCTTACGAAAAAAAAGTATACCACTGATAATAGCGTCTACCTGGCGCAAGTTCGTTGGGTCAGCCTTAAGCGTGAGGAAATCCACTACGAACGTCGCCTAGAGGAGTACTTTTAATCATTTAGTAACATTTTATAATGTTGAATCGGAGATATAAAATATCTGGCGTTTAACTAGACTAGCGTGGTATTACCAGTATCAGTTACGCCAATATATTAGTCGCTCGGTAGATACAACCTTACAAAACAGTTCTAGGAGCGAAATCTGGTTCTATTCAACGTATCTGCTTGGTCAACCTGACTATATATCTCCTTTTACTTATATATAAAATATAAGAAAAAGGTGGTCATCCTAAGGACAACTGGATATCTATGCAGAAGCCGTCGTTTATAGAAACTAATTTCTCTTTTATTTCTGTTATCAAAATATAACAAAAGCGCGGCCACCGTAAGGGCAGCGATATCTCTTTTTAATTATATTTGAAGACTATAAAGAAAGAGGAGTCACCGTGGCGGTAACGTGGATATTTGCGTTTTTTGTTAACTTGACTGTGAAAATGAAAAAGCTAATGTTTCCCCAGCCCACAAAAACCCTGGTATTTATACTTAAATTTCCCATATATGCAAATGTATCGGAAAGAGAACGACTGTGAATTCGGTGTATAAAGACTATAAAGCCCTGTATTAATTCCCGAATATAACCCTATCGGTTTACATCTGGTCTTCTAGCTAGCGGCCGTTACAGTTTACGCGTCGATTTCTTTTCCCAGAAGTAATTAAACGGCGCCTACGAGGCGGGATACGCTGGGATGTTGTTAGAATTCGAAATAAAAATTTGAATATAATATGTAATATATAAGAATTATTTAAATTAATTATCAACCCCCGGTTGTCGGATTTCAATTTTAACCCCCTTTAAAGCCCTATTTTTATTTAATTCAGAATCAATAGGCTTCATCCCCATATAGAGCTTGATTTTTACTAAAAATTTGATGTTGATATCGTTTTTTACTTTTTAATCCATTTTTTTTTTTTTAATCAATAGGCTTTCCTTATAAAGCTTGATTTTTACTACAAATTTCATGTTTATATTGCTTTTTGATTTATAATTTTTTTTTAAACTTTAATATTCGTTGACTCCCCCATTTTTATTCATAGGCTTCGTCCCCTCACAGAGCTTGATTTTTCTGAAAATTTAAAGTTGATATCATTTTTCATTTTTGACTTGATCGGACGAAGAGACATTTTTAAAAGTTGTTTAAAATTTGATTAGGAGGATTTGGGTACAAACATTTTTAAATTTTGATCAATATTAAAAATGTTGGTTTCTTTAAAACAAATCTTCATATACTATTGTGTGAAAGTGTAAATGCAATGATTTAAACTGTAGCATATTTTTTAATTCCTATCAACATTTTTAATTAATATTTTTCTTTATATTGAAATTTAGAAGTACCTATTCATCATTTGAAAATTAAGAATAAACTGAGGGTTTATTGTGAAAATTTCGTCAGTTTAAATTGCCGAAACAAATGCTAGAGAAATCGGGGTGCGATAACAAACCAAAGAAAATTTTGAAAAATTAAAAAATTCTGCTCTGAGTGGGGCTCGAACCCGCTACCTCAGGATTAATTTTTCCCGGTGACATACACCGTCTATATTTTACAAAATTTAATGCTTTATTATATAGATTTCGAAGTGATGCTGAACTTTTTATCGAAAATATATTTTTTCTACACCTGTATTATAATAATGCACTTATATGCCCATAATCCGTTTCATAATGATACAGATTTTTCATTACGATACAGATTTTTAATCAATAGAAACCTACAATTTTTCAATCAAGCATGCTGTTTGACGTTTGTCCTAGGTTCCTATGTAATTATTTTAGTTGTCAAAACGTATTAAATTTTCGTAGGTAGCTAAACTTCGATAATTATAATATTAAAATGTCTGATATTAGCGATATAGAAGACTCCTCCACACATATCGGAGAAAGCAGAAAATACAGTACAAAATATTTTACCGCAAAAATCTAGGGAAATACCAATACCTGAAGTAATACCATTAATTACAATTTTGTAGAATTTTTTATAGAAATACGAGTAATTACTGTTATTGTGTTCAATACAAATATAATATTTATAGGTCTTGATTATTTATCGGGTGTAGAAAAAATAGCGTATGCAACTCTCATGTAATGGTTATTAAAACACTCGCATAAACCATACGAAACTCGCCTTTGGCTCGTTTCGTATCCCGGTTAATGCTCGTGTATTAATAACCATCATTACATGATCGTTGCATAATATACTATTTGTGAATAATGCAAGATATTTTGTATATACTTTTTTTATGGCTATTATTTGTTACCTGAAACTTGTAAATCAAATTCTCTTAGTACAATTTATACAACTATGAATCCAAAACAACTGTTTTGATCATTTGATAAAGTTTCTAACTGTATTAGAAAAACTATCCTTTGTCATAAAAATTTTGTATTTCTTCATAATCTCGCCGACACCTCCTCAAAACAATTTGAGACGGAAAAACAAAACTATGAAACATATTTAAAAATACAAAGATGTGAATAAACTGTTTGAATCATGGTATGAATACAAATAAAAAATGGCAGTTTGACGTCCTAATTTAGAAACATTGTGGATCACTCTTTATATTATCGTTTTTTTTTTTTTAAGGAAATGCATTAGATGAATTAAACCTAGACGACCTAAATTTATCTGGAGCCCTAGATCGTGACCTAGATACCGATTCCCCTACTGTATCCAATTCGATATCGGTAGGATTAGCCTCGTCAGCAGGGCTTTTAGGCAGTTCAGCTCCAGTCAACATTCCAGGCTCCACCCGGTCAGGCCTCGGGGGCTTCAGCCCTCAGGGGAACAGCCCCATGCAGCCATTTTTATCTGCTGCAACAAGGTAATTTTTTTTAAGCGAAAGAGTTGGTTAGGTGATATAATGTATTTTTAGGTGTTGTTTTCATTGTTTGCTCTATGTGGGCTTTAGTCAAAGCTACTAAGTCTAATAAGACTAGATAAAAAACTCTTAATAAAGTAGTTCTGAAAAGTTCACAATCATAATTTTCTTTGCCAAAAATGTATTTGGCAAAAGTGGCAATGTTTCATATCGGTTTACATTCATAGTTTCGCAGCTCTTTCGTAGACCAGGTGATTGCATTTCTAGAAGTACATGCAACGTTGCCACGTTTGCTAAAGGAAATATTTGTCATAAAAATTACGGTCTGATAACATTCATTTTAAGTATTCCCACCTATTCAAGTTGGTAATTTAGATATATTGGAGGAAAAGAGTATTGTCAGTTGGGGTTTTTTGCTTCTATTAATATTTTTCTGAAAACCCAACATTAATTTTAAACTGATGTATGTAAAATTAAAGGATAAATACTTAAGTGCATCCTGTTTTGAAAAACACAATGTACTTGTAAATTAAAAGAAAATATGTTTATTTTGTATTTTTTTTTTTTTTTTTAGGTTTTCTCAGTCAGATCTTGACTTCCTGAACCATTCAGGGATCCAAATGAGCTCTAGCACTTCAAAGATGAATAGCTATCCCAATTTTTTCGACTTTCAGAACCAAAGTATATCGCCCAATTCTAGGAATCACAATAACTTTAGCATGTCGCCAAGTATCAATAGTAATTTGGAAATTGTTAGGTGAGCAAACTAATTTTCTCTATAATTTTTAAATATCGTTGGTATACAAGAATAGTGACGCAACTTGAAAATATAGATTTTCGAAGATATCCATTTGAAAGTTTATTATTTCCTGTATGATCTTGTATTTTAAAATTGTTTAATCTTTTTCGGGAATAAGCATTAGTGTCCACACTTTGTATTCAAACAATAACAAGTTTGCTTTGATAATATTAAAAAAAAAAAAATATATTAATATCATACCCTTTTTTGAGTTATGATGATCATCCAGAAAAGTACATTTGTATAAAAAATTAAATTTTCAACAATAATGTCCTGATTTGACTTGTGTCACTGTTAAAAAATAATTTATAGTTTATTTTCAATAAAACAGACATAACAAGTTTGCTTTGATAATAAAAACCCAAAAATATTGTTTTCGTACCCTTTTTTGAGTTATCGACGATCTTCCAGAAAAGTATTTTACACTGTATTGATAATTGCATTTTCAACAATAATGTCCTAATTTGACTTGTCTCACTGTTAAAAAAATAATGTACTTTAATAAATAAATCAATAAAACAGTAACAAGTTTGATAATATTAAAAAAAGAACCAAAAATATATTTTCATACTCTTTTGAGTCATGACGATCTTTCAGAAAAGTATATTTCATACCATATTGATAATTACATTTTTAACAATAACGTCCTAATTTAAATTGTGTCACTGTAAAAAAAATTATGCTCAGTTTATTATCAATAAAACTAACATCAGTGGTCATATTTGTATTCAAACAATAACAAGTATTAATAAAAAAACCCATAAATATATTTTCATATCCTTTTTTGAGTTATGACGATGTTCCAGAAAAGAATACTTGACACCGTATCGATAATGGTATTTTCAGTAATAACGTCCTAATTTGACTTGTGTCACGGTTGAAAAAATTATGTAGTTTATTTTCAATAAAACTGTCAGTAGTGTTCACATTTGTATTTAAATAATAACAAGTTTGCTTTGATAAAAAACCAAAAATATTGTTTTTATACCCTCTTTTAGTTATAAAGGTCTCCCATAAAAGCATATTTCATAGCGTATTAATAATAAAATTTTCAACAATTTGACTTGTGTCACTGTTGAAAAAAGAATTTATAGTTTATTTTCATTAAAACTGACCAGTTTGCTTTGATAGTATTAAGAAAAATCTTAAAAATATAATATTTTCATACTCTTTTTTGAGTTACGACTATTTTTTAGAAAAGTATTTCACATCAAATTGATAATAAAATGTCTTGTGTTACTGTTGAAAAATAATGTACTTAGTTTATTTTCAATAAAATAGATTAGCGTTTACATTTTAAATCAAACAACGAGTTTGCAGTGATAATATCAAGGAAAAACCATTTTTTTTTTAGTTATGACGATCTTCCAAAAAATTATATTTTACACCATATTGATGAAATTTTTAACAATAATGTCCTAATTTGGCTAGTGTCACTGTTTAAAAAATAATGTATTTAGTTTATTTTAAATAAAACTGACATTAGTGTTCACATTTGTATTCAAACACTTACAAGTTTGCTTTGATAATATAAAGAAAATTTGCAAAAATATTATGTTTATCATGATCTTCCAGAAAAGTATATTTCACACCGTATTGATAATTAAATTTTTAATAATAATGTCGTGATTTGACTTTTGTCACTGTTGAAAAAAATAATGTACATGTTCAATAAAACTGTATGTATTGTATTCAATTAATAACAAGTTTGCCTTGATAATATTAAGAAAAAATTCAAAAATATTGTGTTTCGTGTCTTCTTTTGAGTTATGACGATCTTTCAGAAAAGTATAATTCTCACGGTATTGATAGTGAAATGTCCTAATTCGACTTGTATCACTGTTGAAAAATAATGTATTTTGTTTATTTTCAATAAAACTGGCATATTTTGATTTATGTCATTGACGATTTTCTCTCATTGACTGTCAGAGCACGACTTAATTTAATTTCGTCATCAACATAATCTCACGACTTTGTAGTTCTGAAAGAACGACAACCATGTTTTTGCAGCAATCATTTTTAGAAGTTGGAATATATATTTCTGCCACATAAAAATATGCATATTTTGCATACATTTTCATGATAAGCTAGAAATTTTTGAGTTGTGTCACTATTCTTGTGCACCAACGACATCGATCTGTGTAAAAAACGAGTAAAATATTATTTTATTTATTTTATTAGGTTAAGAGACGAATTAGGAACGTATAGGTTACAATTAAACAATTGGGAAGAGCGGTTTCAACAAGCAAGGACAGCCTGCGATGCATGGCAAAGAGAAACTGAAGAAGCAAATAGGAAAGCCCAACAGGCTGAAAATAAATTTAGTGATACTATGACTCAATATAATGCCCTTAAGCAAGAATTAGAACAGTTGCAAGGTGGACCTCACATTAGGAGTATCACTAAGGTAAATAAAAATTCAAAAATTAAACTATGAGATATAACAAACAAAAATATCATTATTTGGGGTCTGTTCTGTAAAAAATTAAGCTTGGGTAATAAAAATAACTGGATGTTATTTTTAATTTTGTATTCTCTATTATTTGGTTAAAGTTATAACTTGTCAGTAATAAATCTAGTAATGATTAACTGTCAAATATATTCTTTTTCTTATTTTTAATGCTGCATTGGGCTAACTTTCAATTCACTTTTAGGTATATTACAGTTTATCATGTCTATTTTAACTAGAATTGGTTATAACACAAAATTAAGTTGATGGAATATCAGATAGAGATTTGAGTTAAAATTTAAACGTCATTAGTTATAAATAACCTTTTAACATGGGGGTTAAAATTAACTAAAACATTACAGAATAGACCCCATAGTCTTATAATATTAGTTAAGCTGTTAAAGATATTAAATACCCTTTAAATTTAATATTTAGGCCTCAAAGTGCATCCTGAAATACAAACTTATTTATGTGAACTATTACATGAAAAATTTTATGGATAATTTTTTATTTTTAAAGGTGTCTGAATTAAGCAAACTATCACTAGGCGTTTTAAAAACTTTGCATGCACAACTTAGACAAGACTTAGAAGAAATAGAGAAGGTTTTATACAGAGAAACAGCTTCTAAATGTATGGTAAGTAACGTCTTGTCTTATGGTTTTAGTTAATAAAAGAAAATAAGAGAAAAAAATTGCTTCGGAAAGGACATGTATTTATGTTCACAACTGAATATAATTATTTATTATATTATTACTTCAATAAATATTGTATGTACAACACAAATTCTAGGGTAGAGTGGAACTCCATCTTGTTGCTAATACCTGCTTCCCTTAACCTGAAACTTTGGTATAATTTTTCGTTATTCAGTGAAAAGTGTTCTCTTTTTTGTCTTCGCCATACTGTCATATAAAGTCATCTGTTGGCATTTTCAATTGCTTCTCAAATCTTTTTGTAACCCCTATTACTTTTAAATGTCCGTTTCTCGCTTTCCTTATTTATTACTTTACACTCGACAGGTGTAATGTATGGCCGCCATGCGTATATCGGTATCGGCCACAAACAATCATATCGGTCGATCCCTAATTATTTTACTAAAGTAAAGAGATTTAATTTTTGTTTGGATTATTATTTTTTTTTAACGAGCAAAAACTAATGAAGAATAACATTTTCTCTAGAAGTTTTTCATCTTTTTCAATCCATCCGGGGACAATTTGTATGTCCGTTATTTCAGGTACTTATCTTCTTCTTAACTCGTTTATTATCAGAACCAACTTGGCATTATTGTAAGCAGCATTTTAAGTAAAAGTAGTTTGACTAACTACAGACTATTGTCATATTCATACACTTTTCCATCTGTTTGTAATATGGTTTTCAAATACCTAAACTTGTTGCTTTGTAGCAATGCTTGACCCAGCAATTAATCAGTACTGGACCTGTCATTAATAATTAGTACCAATTATAAGTTTTCTCTCTATTAATTTCTCAGATGCTTTGCGAACTTCTTTCTACATTGAACTAACCTGATATTTAAGTCTTCCACCGAATTCAGAGTAATACCACATCATCTACGTACTGTCAAATCTACAGGATTTCTCCCATAAGTTCGTTATAATACTACTGAGAACAAAAATGGATGCAACGCTGCAAATGTTGAATTCATCTGTATCTCTCATCTGTAATTTATTGCTTAATACAGTCAAATTACATTTTTTTAATTATTTTTAAAATACAAATATTTATTAGGTTGTTTCATTTTCGATATTAAATAAGTATTTAAGCTAAACAATTTTTTTACCATCTTACAACAAGAAAATAATGTTTTCTATTTTTTTTCTTGTGACACAGGTATGTGAAGAACGCAATAGGACAGTAACTCTAAGTTGCAATCATTTTGTTTTGTGTGACACGTGTTCAAGCACCCAAACTGAGTGTCCATATTGTCAGACACCAATCAATCTCAACAGTATCTGAAGAAGAGGTAATTAGGCTTGCAAAGGGGCCACCCTGACTTTTTGTACGGAAGGGCCAATGAAGACAAAATCTTTTTATTAAAAAAAAATACCCCCTGCTCAAAGTCCAGATGGCTGACCTTTGCAATTTAACAAATTTTTTAAATTGATCATTAAGTCTAGTAGATTTACTCAACAAATTTTTGTTTCTTCTTTTTAATTGTTCTTATAAGTCTAGGCGTGATTTTTTAAATGGTTCGTGAAATGTGTCGTACATCACTTGTATGTTAGTTTGACTATTGTATTTTCTAGATACTTTTGCAAAAGATATCAAAAAATACTTTATTTTTAGTCGACAAATGGTGGGTGTGTAGTACGAGGTAAAAAAATCAAAATGTGCCATTATTTAGAAACTAATCATTTATTTTAATAACATCTACCATTTTTTGAAATAATTTTATTGATTGTTTCTTGAGTGTACAGTGGTTATCAATTTTGAAATTAATTGAATAAACATGCTGAAGACGATTCTATAATGCTAAACCCTGTATATAATAGAGCAGATTTTTTTAAATTTTTCTTACGCCAATCTGATGTTTATTAATATGAACTCTTAGCTGGTTTATGAATAATTGTAAAAATTTAAATCTACATCATTCTGGGTGCATATAAAAGCAATTTAAATAATTCAATTTGGGGTCCTTTTTTACTCAAATTTTGGCTATTTTTGATGTTCTATTGATACTGCATACCCAACGTTTTCGACTCTTGTCCTTTATTTTTGTATCTGTCCATTCGTTCAGTCCATATTAAAGTTTTCAATAGACGTGCCATTCTAGATGGCGAAAATATGTTGAGTTTGTATTTTTTTATTAATTTTGAAATTGACGTTGTTAAAACTCTGTAATATAAATAAAATATATATTACAGAAACTTAAAGAAGCAGTATTTTTAAATTTTAATACATTTAGTCCTTATTAGGGATTTATGATAAAGATATATTGTCGAAATTTTTTTTTTTTTTCATAGATTAACGTGTGTTTATGATATTTTGTAGAAATAAAAGTATATGTGAAATTTTAATATTGAAAGAATATAGTCAGTAAATTATGTAATTGTAAAAATTAGACGAGATTTAATAAATAAGAAAGTTATAGTAATATCTATATCTTATTTTTATTTTTTCAATAGTTATCCCAATTATAAAAATTTCAAATATCCAAGTAAGCCGAGGTAGGTAAGCAAAAAATTGCATTTTTTGTATAAAGCTACAGGGTGTCCACAATTTTATAAATCTAAGAAAAACGCAATATTTGAGTAAATCGTTATTTTAAAAATGATAGTATGTAGTTTTTGATACAAATTAAAAATACGAAATTATGCTAGGTTGAGGCTGAGTCAAAATATATATTTTCTTCAATAATGAAACTATAAATATTTTCTATATTGGAAATTAATAATAATTAAAAGGATCTCGTCAAAACATTAAATTTTGGACACTCTGTATCGCATTTTCGATTTAACCTTTTATATAAATAAAACTTGAATACATTTATTTTTATAAAAACACTTGTATATTGCAAAGTTCCAGATATTTTATATATTGCATGTGTTTTTTGTGACTGAAAATTGAAATCGAGTCAATTTTGTAAATATTTTCTGTTTAGAATAAAATAACAGAAAATTTTAATATGGATATACTGTAATTAGGATTTATAAAATAGGTAGGATTTTACAATTTTTAATTTATTTAAACCAATTTTGCTGCACTCCAGTACATATCATGTATTTATTTTTTCTTTATATTGAGATATTTTTTATAAAAATTATATTGATTTTTCAAATTGTAATTTAGTTGTGCATGTAGCTATCTACATTTATTTTAAATTAGTTTATATGAAATTTGTAACAGTAATATGCTGATGATGATAATGTGCAGCATTATATCAAAATATGTTGATTTTTTTATCTACAGAGTTGACCAGAACATTTATGTCGGAAATTGCTGAAAAGTTTACCAATTCATAAGATTTTCATAAAAATAATCTTTTGGATTAACTTGATGAAATTCTATTTTCTAATACAAGAGGTAAACATCAGACTAGAATTTCTACACTTATTCTCCTTATACCAATTCCTGTAATTTCCCGGCAATTCCTCTGGATTCCTTAAATTTCTTTGGACCTATAAATTCCTTAACAATTTCCTATTTTTGTTCGACTAATTCTGTCTGAGGTTTACCTCTGGGAAAAATTAAAAATAAATAATTGATTATACTTATAATATACTGCTGTCATCTACCAAAAATTGAAACCTTAATATCTCATCGATTTGGTTTAAATAAAAGGTTGAAGAAAAGGTTGATTATTAATAATTATACCACATATACTGAGGTCCAAAATAGGTCAATTAAACCTTATTACCTATGCACAAATGTAGACAACAAAAAAGTTACAAAGTCTTTAAGTTAAAAAATTATATGGGATACTAGTATACAATGTACAATAAAATGCAGTAGCCATATATTTTTATGGGTTTTCAGAATGGTCAACACCCCTTTGTCCCCCTAACTTTTTTTTAGAAAAGTAGCTAAAAACGGAACGCCACTGGACTCAAATCTATTTTAAAACTTTTCTCTCGCCACTACCACTACTACAATCTACACACTCCACTGATTTTGAAGTGTGTGTGAGATTTGATGACTGGTATATTTTGGAGAATTTCAATGCGACTTATTTACGCTGCAGCACCTCTTTCAGATTTAATAGACTCGGACACTCAAAAATAAAAGGTAAAACACCCCTTTAAGCTTTACGTTTCCGCCCATTATCTTCCACTTCATATATTTTTCCATATCAGTTTCAAGCTAGAATAAAACAATACTATTGTTACCTTCCATCTTTTTTTATCTGCTTTAAACGTTTTGTAAATGTTTTTGCAAGACTCAATATATCAAATATTAATAAAAATCTCTTAATTCCTTATTTATGAGCCATGTATTACCATCATAATAATAAGGAATTCCAGTTGCAGGGGCCATAAATTAATAACACCTATTTATGACGGTACCCCAAGTGTAATGGTTATTTCTATTCTAATTGCCTACATATTTCTATATTATTAAAAAATATCGAGAATCACAATTTACATAATAGTAAGAGATATTTTGTATTGTTGGCATTTACAATAACCATGGTTTATGTTAATAACTATTCAAATGAATTTTTATAGATCTTTTGTTGCAAGACATTTGAATTTAGCAGTAGCAGACCCTGTAAGTAAGCAAAAATACTACTGCAGTAATAAGTACCTTAATTAATTAAAAATAATTTACCTCAAAATGATATTCACAACAAAACCGTTTACATGTACAAAGAACTTTGTTTATTTTATTGTCTCTCTTCATTGCAATACACCACTGTTTCTGTATGTTCTCTCCTTTTGACACCCTAATGAATACAATATTTATACCTGATATTTTCTTGGTAACATTGTTCACTGACGCTAGTCCACACAGAACTTCGTAGTTCCATTCTTTTTCTGGACCAGGACTATTGGAGAGACCTATAGGCTGGTAGAAGGTTCTATCACCCTGTCTTTCTACATTTCCCGAACAATCCTTTCAGCTTCCTCCCTCTCTTAGTAATCTTCGAGCTGATTGATGAATCGGCCTGACGTCACCAGTGTCAATTTTGTTTTACAACAGAAGTTTTTCCAGTTTTTCCTCCTTTTGCTACAAAAATGTCATGATATCATTGAACAAATTCTGTTATCTTTTTCTCTAATTGATTCAGAGATTGACAAGCAACTGCAATCATTTGCTCGAATTTGTCATTGGAATTATCAAAAATTGTTGTCTGATGAGTTATAGAAGTTACTGGTACACAGGTTCCGATTCTTGTCTCTGTCTTGATGGTAATTGGGCGTTCATTAACATTTATGAGATGTACTGAAATTTCTTACCGATCAGAATTCCTCAACCCTCCCTTCATTACTGTTCCAAAGTTCCATCATGATAGGTGCTACTATAATGGTTTCACTTCTACCAGGTACCACCGTATCTTCCTGTACAGCTATTGGCATGGTATTGTCCCCATATGGATGAAAGAAACCCACTTCTGACACCAATGTAACGTTTATTTAGAAAATCATTATAATTTATCAGCACTATTTATATAACAACTCAAATGTCTATCTTCAACTGTATCTCGGCTATAACTTTGATTACTCTGTTCGTAAAATCCAACTGGAAACCATGTAAGTTCATTACATTCATTCCAGTATAACATCTTGATATCAGCGACAATAAGAGCGTGAATGAATAAACTTTTCTGTGCCAATTCCTAATTGAACCTGAATTTCCCCATGGATGTTGGCACTATCTTATGTGGCAGTCTACAGTTGAAATCATTTTGTTAGAAATCTCTTATGGTTATTTATGGTCGTATTATGGTCCTAGTTACTCCAGTATTCACCAATAGTATACTTTTTTCATTTACTTTGCAGTCTACGTATTCACTATTATCACATTTCAAAATCAGTTTGAGAGGGTCTTTGGAATTAGGATCTTCACATACAAATATTAAGAGAAAAGAAAGTTTTTAAAATAGATGTGCGATTCCAGTGGCGTTCCGTTTTTAGCTAAATATTCGTTTAAAACGAAGTTGTGTGGGGACAAAAGGGTGTTGACCCTCTCTGAAAACCCATAAAAAATGGAAATAAAGCGCACTACTGTGTATTTATTCTATATTTCATATATAATAATATGGTATAATTTATGACCAGTCTCATATATTTCACTGGAAAACGGTTGGTTAAATGTATAAATAAGTTCTTTTCGAGAGGATAGAATAGATCATAAATATCTAGTATCGTTTTCATGTTATTTAATAAAATCTTGTAACTATTTTTTACAATCCAGGTCTGGTTTTAGAAATAACGGCTATCATAAGCACAATTTGTAGCTCAGTGTTCCATTTTTGTGGGGCTACCATCAAATTAATTTTAAATACGAAACTGATA